TGTCAGACATAAAATTTTATTTATCGTATTACAATTCACATGATTGCAATAATACTACCTTTGTAGATGGAAACATCACATTATAATTAAATACAATGTACATACATGGACATAGTGAACATATTTATTTAAATTGACTAACAATAAGAATATTAAAGTGTTAAATGGAAAACGAATAAATGTTTCAGATATTTTTAATTAGGTCGTTTATTAAATTATTGTTGTTTTTACCTCATCACCTACTTAGCAATAGCTATGACAATTAAACAGTGATCAATTAATTTAAATTTTATGCCTGGGAATTAAAGGATTATTTTTTTATATAATAAGAATTGTGTTATTAATTGTCTTATATATATGTATATTTCATATGATAGTGTGAACTGGTGAATAGCCTATCTTAGTAGCAGCCCTGTCAGTGTAGTCTTGAAGATATCCTAATTATTCTCACTGAGATTATACATATACACACCGCCACCGTTCAAAATTTCCATTACGCTTACTAGTCTGTAGGAGAAAGTGGACTGACAAGATATTACAATGGACAGTTCGGATGTTAGTAGGGGTCACTTTGAGGGAAAGGAATTGAAGACACTATAAAAAGTTACTTTCTTTTCTAACTTTTCATTTTTTAAGGCACCCGCTATCGCAGGGAGTTGTGCCAGCCCTACTTTCTTGCATGGCAAGAATTTTTCAATTTTTTATTTCATATATAATACAATCCTTGTCGATAGCAGAGGTTGCAGAATTTACAACACTATTTCAATAAATATTGAATTAGTTCAAGACATTTAATGTTTTTTAATTATTATATACTACAATAATTAAAATACATTAAAAAACACAATACATAATTAAAATTGAAATAATTTAAAATGAAATAAAATAAAATATTAAAATTAAAATTCAATTTAAAATATTTAAATGAAATTGCAATAATACATTACAATGAAATAATAATTTGAAATACCAATAAATTATTCAAAACAAATATATTACGGTAGTAAATTAACATTGAAATTGATAACCTAATTAAATGAAAGTAATATTTTCGGATTTACTACGTGGTTTTTTATTTTTGTCTATAAACTACATACTCCCGACGTTTCGGTCTGAGATGTGAGTGTCTATCAGTCGGTCTTGTTATTTTTAACCTAATTAAACTTAACAATAATAGTACACCATCATCTCGTTTGGTTCCGTTCGTTGCTTTTTTTACAATTTTCCTAAAAAACCGCTCGAGATACTGCCTGGAGTATTTTTCGGATATTAATTCAGCAATTATTGCCTCCGTCACTTTTTTACCGGTACTTAATTCCAGCTCATATGTGTCGCGGTCGTGCCTCGGACACTCGAACAAGGGATGCTGTACAGTCTCTGCGACCTCGGGTCAAAGAATTCCTGTCGAGGCACTTTAGAGTTCGACAAGCGCACCAAGCATCAAGGAAGAACATGCGGGTGACCTTCGCTGTGGCTTCTTCTGTTCCAGCCTGGACCGCGCCCTCTCACAATCGTCGTTTGTCATAGGCCGGGGTAACCCTATCCTGAGCCGCCAGCCTAGCCAACTCGTCGGCGAGCTCGTTTCCGGGTATCCCTACGTGAGCCTTCACCCTAAAGAACCGGAGGGTTTTATCCCTTCCCTACAACTCCCTAATATTCTGGCGAATATGGGTAGCGAGGGGACGGTGCGTTCCGGTTTCTGTACCGCCGCGGTGTTGAAGTTCCTCCCGACAACGGCTCCAGCCTCAACCGTTTGGTCCGGACCTCGACCCCCTCCCGCCAGTAAATGCATGCCGCCCCGATAGATGCGCAGATAAATCAGATGCGCGGGAAAGTTTAGTTCAGCCACATGTTCAGGGAGCATACTTTCAAAACAAACGTAATCCACGTCTGGTTCACTGGCAGGATAAAAGCCGAAAGGCCTCGGTATAGGCCGGAACTTTGCATTGGGGCTAGCCCACTATTTAGGTACCCTTCTGATTACGGGCAGCAAGCGGATCACTCATTTTCAGAATTCGCTACTCTCTAAGATCAAAATCCTGATACTACAGTGTGTTTCGTACTCAATGTCTTTTATACTTAAAGAAAATCACAAAGCAACTATTCGAACCCTACCTCCATACGGATTCAACAGACAACTTTCCGGAATTTGACGAATCATTATCGGATATGACTTTGTTTTTGATATTATGAAAGTTGAGGCCTCCGATTGAGAAAATTATAAACTTTTTCCGAAATTTATGGAAAGTTCCAAAAAACTTTTTACAGCTTTGAAAAAATAGTATAAAACTTAATATAGAAACCATATTGTTTGAAAATATGTATATTTATTAAGGAATATATAAGCTAGCTAAGATTTTCTCGAATGACGGATTTTTGTATTATTTTCTCTGGGATCGAGAAACTATATTAGTATTGACAGCTAATCTTCTATATATATAAAAATGGATTGCTGTTCCTTAGTCTCGCTAAAACTCGAGAACGGCTGAATGGATTTAGCTAATTTTAGTCTTGAAATACTCCTAGAAGTCCAAGGAAGGTTTAAAAGGTGAGAAAAATTGGAATAATTGCCGGGATAACCCTAAAAACAGCCCTTTTCTATTTCCCATACAAACGTTTTTTTTTGACATTAGATTTGACAACTAACTTATATGTCAATCATTCTGTTTGATTGAAACAAGAAAAACCTGATTACTTATGGCCTCTAAGACGGAATAGAGTTCGCCTGCTCAGCTATACCTACATAGGTATATTACTCTTGACCAAACTAACGCGGACGAAGTCGCGGGCAAAAACTAGTATAAAATAGAAATATAGCATGAAATAGTTAGTAAATAACAATATTATTATTTAAAGAATAAAACCAAAGAAGTTTTCACGTGACTGACACTATTTTAAAATTACGGCACTTGAAATTTTACTCATAAATCAAAATCATTTTTTTGTTAATACACCGGTAAAATATATTTTATCAATTCATAACAAACTTGGCTAAATTTCTGTTGTAGGGCCAAATATTTTTTATTGTTCATTAAGCGAAACATCTGATTGAGCACAAGCTTATCGGCCAAATTTCTGGCGAGCGCATTTGATTTCCTCTGACTGAAGTAAATTAGATGAACTTAATTAATATTAAATTGTCCCCTATTAATCGAAATTACAATCAAGTAGCAGTATTCCGTAACAATATGTAGATATATTCAAAATTCATATTAAAATATTACTTCTCTGAAATAATAATTATTGTTATTCATGACGAATATTAAAGACGGATTAATATACAGGGTGACTGGTGAATTACTATCAATATTTAAGGAGAATACTCGGTACATGATTCTCATTCGAATTATGTAAAAAAAATAGGTGCTTAATTTTTGACAAAATTTCCGTATAAATAAATAAAGTGTGTACACGTTCCAAGTGTTTCAAGTGTGGACGCGTGCGGCGGCGTGCTGATACAACAACACGCCGCCGCGCGCGTATGTGTGTGTGTTATATGTTATATGTGTATACCTAATCTGTAGGGTGTTCATACGATGCGTAATTAATTACATAACTTTTGGTTAACTTTAGTTAGAAGTTTATTAATATTTATGTTATATTAATTTTTATTTTGTCATATATGATCGTCAAATATCACGTCCTCAAATATCGATAGTAATTCACCAGTCACCCTGTATAATAAGGAAATTGCAATGCAAATTTATTATGGCATTAGCAAATCTTCGACTTAATTTGGCAGTCTACTATCAAACTAGAAAAATCTAGAAAATTAGGATTTTATTTCCAAGAATACAAACTGCTTAGTTTTGTGGTAGGAAAATCTACGAGTGAATACTTAGGCTAGTAAAAAAAATATTTTTAATAACATTCCTCTATAGCTATGTTCTATGATAAAACCTCTTTATTATTTAGTAACGACGCCACAAATCATTTGATCATGTTCATCACTGCCCATACTTTCTCTGTGCCTACTATCATACCGTCCTTGTCAAATTTATGCCCCAAATGCCAAATAGAGTAATAAAAGTACATAAGTCGGCACTTTCATAATCTAATTTGACCGACCAAAATCCATAATTGGCATCCAGAACTGAAAAATATTGAACCCCGTTCAGATAAGTTGCTAATTCACTTACAGTCGGCAAACGAGTATGAGCTCATCTAATGGCTTTCTTGAGAGGACGTGGATATAAGCATGTACGTATTTTAACATTTTTCTTAGCCACACAAACCACAGCGTTCACGTACCGCGTTGGATGAGTCACCTTCCATATTACAACTAGTTCTGTCATTCTATCTAGCTCCGCTTACAAGTTATTGCGCTAACTTCCAAAGCGCACATCACCGGCGTCACATCTCTGTCTCCCGTTATATGATTCTCTCCCGGTAAGCAATCATTAAACAAATCTATATTTTCAGCCAAGTTATATACTAGATAAATTTCCATAATTTTGACAAACATAATACTCGAAATCGCGGGACAGTCGACACCGTGAGCACAGTGGCCACTACACCTGGGACATTCTGTGTAGGTGATCACGGCGGTGACACGGCAAGCTGGCGGCCCCGGGGAACAGGGTACGTCAGCAGGTGCTTGCGGTGTCTAATTTAGACGGTGTTCGGATGCGTTCGATTGATGAAAACACATAACGTACTTCACGTGATACTATTACGCAGAATATTTATTGAATAAACACTTACAAATGCCTTTTCTAATTATTATAATCGCACCACTGCCACCATGTAGTTTAGACAAACGATTGTGTGCAGTCGACCACTGTTTATTATTTAATAATCTCCAAAAAACTCAATAGGAAAAAAAAATTATATAATATTAGAAATGCCATAAAGAGATAATCTACTTTCGTTATTTTATTTTTTTTTTTTCATACTTTCTTAATTTATAAATCAAATAAATGAACTTCATTCATTTTATAATTTATGATTTTGGGTCATATATAAGAAGTTATATATAAATGTTATATTTTATGTTGTAGTTACGACACGAGACTCTCAGGGTTAGCTGGTCACTGGACAGATGACACATTTGGAGATCGAGCAAGATGGGTCGGCTTTCCAAACTCCGGTCTCCATGTCCGTGATGTTCGCTCTCACGATAGATCCATATACAGATGTCGGGTTGACTTTGAAGTGTCGCCTACAAGAAATTATAGAATTTACCTCGATGTTATCGGTAAGCATTTTAATATTAGCAATGACTATTTCTGTGAATAATAAATGCATTATATGATATTGAATATGTCTTAATATACATATATATCGGATTTATTACAAATTCGTTGTTTTAAAAGAGAGAGACGCCAGCCTCGCTGACGTTACAAATGTCACTTCTTCTAGAACGTTCCATAATATTTTGAAATGAAACTTCAATTGTTCTTAATGTTCCTGAATTTCTCGAAGGTTCCTCATAATCACAATATTAAATGGTCCGCACCTATTGAACTCTGAATTCTGGCGTCATGCGTCCAGACGTCATATTTATACCAAGATTCAAACATATGTAGTTCTACTCTCCTTTTAAACAATATTTGATTTCGTTTTACTTTTAACAATAATCATGAATACTAATGAGTTTTAATAAGAATTGATGACAGCCTCAAGTTAGTTTCATGTCGCATCCGTTATTAAAGCTGATAGCGCCGATATATATTGTATAATGACGTTTAATTTGGTTCAAAATTATACTCGTAATGTTAAGTTTTTATTAGAGGCAATGAAATGGACATAAGCAATAAGTAATATTTTTACGTAAATATCAGACAACATGTAAGTCTTTGCCGAATTTCCACTCCACTAAATAATATTTTTTTTAAGAAATTTCTGAAATTCTTAAAATGTCTAGTACTTAGTTCTAATTTGAATTTTCTTACAATGTAGAAAATTTCGAAATTAGCCCTCTTTTCCAGGCTAATAATATATATATTTTTAAATGAAACAATACGATTGAACTTAAGCTCACAACCTACATATAACGAGAGCAGCCCAATATATATGCAGGTACAAACATATTTGCAGGTACGGACCATCTCTTAAATACGTTAAAGTCAATCTTCATCTGTTTAACATTTTCAATTCTTTTTTTTAAATACCAATTCTCACTACAAGTCCTGTTATAGTTAGTTATAATCCTGAAAAACAAAACTTTTTAAGATAATCTTTTTAAAAATGAATAATAAATTGCTTAAATCATAAAAGTAGTAGCTTTTACCGCATTGCTAAAAACTTTTTTTTTTTAATGTAATGTTGAACAGAACATGTAGTTAGGGCAATTATCGAGTTTCTTTTTTATGCTTAAAGGCCCGATTGTTATAAGAAACAATAAAAGAACATCGAAAAATATGATTTGTTTATTAGCTTTCTTTTATACAGTAAGAGGTAAAATTAACGTTTCACATAGTCTTCATTCTCTCCTTCAGGATAAAACTTTATCAAAAACGATACGAAATAAAAAAATGTTTTAAAAATAGGTGTAACTAAAGTCTTAATTTACTGAATAATTTGAGTAGTAGTTGACTTATGTAACTAATCTTGAATATGTAACGATATACTTACGAGTACATATATTGTAGCTATAAATTTAACTAGTTATTTTAAATACAGAACTTTTGTAGTTATATGTCCAATGTAGTTTAAAGGAGTGTTTTTTTTTAGTTCATAGTATTTTATCCTAAAGCTACTAAGTGGAAAAAAATATTGTATTTAGTACTGCACACAAATATTAACAAATTCTTTAATGATTAAAAGTATATTTTTTTTACTTTTTCGAAGCAACATTTTAATCGATTTTTATTAATAAACTGTTATCGATTAAGCATCCTAGCTTATATACATAGCTCAGTTTATTAATTAATTTTTTTTCGTTAATGAAAAAAAAAGAAGTTGAAAATATTGTTCAATAAAATTGAATCGTAACAGCTCTAAGTGCTAAACATCCTAAACATCAATATTAAATCATCAATATTAAACTAATGTAAGAGCGAATTGAAATTTTTGAATATTTAAACATATAAAAAAATTACTTTTTTAATCGAATTGGAGTGCATATAAATTGCTTTGTTAATTATTTAAGTAATGTTTATAATTACTAACAACCCGCCCCGGTTTCGCACGGGATCTTTAGAGTAAAACCGAAAGTAGCCTATGTTAAGTTAAATTGATTGAGTAGTACGAGTAAGAACATCATTTTGGGGTTAAAACAAGACAAACAAAAATTGTATTATCTTTCTACGTTAAATATTATTTTGAGTTAAAACGAAGATGTACTGTATTTTTATGTTAATAAAAGTTTGTTGACATAAAAAATACAATATTTCTTTGTATTCAAAATTAATACTCATAACATGATCCTGTGAAGAAATGAACGAATTTTGTACAAAGTAAATGCGGGATAGGCCAACATAATATTATAACTGCCTGTGCGAAAAATACTGTCCACTCCGGAATTTTTTTTATGTCTCACCCTGCAGTTTATTAATTGTTATTCCAAAAGCTATTTTTACGGGAAATGTTGGCCGTATAAATTGGGATGGCAATTTTGACGGTATCATAGGAATTCTGAAAATGAGAACAGTATCAACAACTGCGGTTTCTGTTAATACGACACCCTCGATTAAAAGTTTTTTTACATTGACTATTTTGAGTCCGAACTTTGTACATGTTTAATTTGTGCAATAAAATAATAAAAAAAAAGTATATTATTAAGAAGTTTATCTTATCGATTTGCTCATTTGTATTGAACCACTCATTGGATTGGACTCCACTGGCGCTTTAAGAGACATAAAAGCCTCGTTCGAAATAATTACAATACAATCTCTCATTAATTTTCTAGTATCAGTTTATTTAGAAAAATTGCAAATAGTAGTGGCGTCGTCACTACACATTTTTAAGGGCAATTTGTATGTGGAAGGGCCGGTTCGCCCACCTTCTAAAAGGATGGCTGCTTAATGGTGAATGGTGATTTAATTTGAGCTTCGGTAATTTTTCTTAATTAATGTATCAATAAAGTTTTATCTGTTTCACCAATGGCATCTAAAAAACGGTTTACTTGCATTTAATTAACTATTGAGTTTACTTGCAATTAATTAAATTTAATTGTGAACAATATTTGGCCCTAAACATTTTTTGGTTCAAGTTTCACGCGACATTTGTCTTGATTTACTTGGAATTATCTCTAACAATTATAGTTGGACTCTAGTAAGTAAAAAACATTAACTGCTGCATTAGCTGTATCTGCTGCAATGCTCTCTCTCTCTCTCTCTCGTCGGGCTGAGGGCATCCACAGTACGCCGCTATCCCGTTCGGTCTTGAGCTTCGCCTTTCATGTCGCTCCAAGTCTTCCCGATGTTTTTGGCTTCTGCAGTGATCGTCCACTGCTAGGTCTGCTTAGGGCGGCCACGTTTTTGCTTTCCAGTTGGGTAGTCCAATCTAGGGCTTGCCTTAGTATGTGTTCCGGGTCCCTTCGGAGCGTGTGGTCGATCCATTTCCACTTGCGACGTTTGATTTACAGATCAATTAGTATCTCACCGCAGCGTGCCCACAGATTCACATTGGAGACTTATCGGGCCAGTAAATACCGAGAATACGGTGAAGACACCGATTAACGAAGACCTGAAGCCGATGCGAGATATCCTTAGCGACCTTCCACGTCTCGCATCAATATAGCATCACGGTTTTGGCACTGGACCGGAATATTTTGAATTTAACTCTCCTGATCAGTTTCCACGACTGCCATACAGGACGGAATTGCGCGAAAGTTGCCTTTGAATTGGCCATTCTTGACGCGACGTCCTTTTTGGTCCCTCCACTTTCCGACACTACGCTTCCGAGGTAGGTAAAATTGTGGACCTCTTCCACCGCCTCTATGCCAATGAGCAACGGCAAAGAGGTTGTTGCTCCACAACTCTGTAGAGGGCTTTTATAAGGTTGATTATTTTGTCGGGGACTCCAACTTCACATAAACGCTCCCAGGTACCTGTCCATCCCACTGTGTCGAAGGCTTTTTCAAAATCCACAAAGGTCAAATACATATCCCTCTACCACTCTGATGTCAATATTAATCTAAAATCTTTTAGAGATTTTCCTGATATGAGATTTCACTTCTTTATTCAATTCGAGGAGAGCTTGATCAAAAATAGTTTCATAAAATCTGTATTTTACAATATATTTTAAGCTAAAATTTGTCTTTGCAAGATATGACAGCATAAAGCTGCTTCAGAAAATGTACTTTCCCAATAGGAGTCATCTTCTAAAAAACCTTTACAAATTCCTTGAAATGTTTGTTAAGTTGCAAAGTACGAAGACTACTGAAATAAGTGAAGCCCTTTTGCTACATAGAATTCTACTAGTAAAATCCTCAAATAAAAAGCAGACATCGTTGTTGTGATGAACTAAATAAACTCTGTTTGTGTTTTTTGCACGTCTATATACCCTTCAACTTTAGTACGTTGTTTTCGCAGTTGGAATTTTTTGTTGTTTTGCTTTAAGGTGTAATGACCCGAGGCCTTATATATATCATAAGCTTCTGATATATGATCACAATTCAGGAGAAGTCATCTTCAGAATATAATATGAACGATGGGGTCAATGTTGTATGTAATTATTAAACATATATTATGATAAATTTGAAATGGTAAGTCAGATTTAAGTGATTCAAAAAGTAATTTGCAGATACCATATCTGTATAGTTATATCTATATAGCTTGAACACAAAGTAATTTATTTGGATAAAACTTAATACCGTAATTGTATACATAGTTTTCCTATAATCGTTTCATGAATGCCAATTTTTAAAAGTAGTAAAATGTTATCTTTAAGAGCTAGACATATGCCACCGCGGACTATTCTGGAGACCCCTATAAGATGAATAATGTTACATCTTGGCTTTAACAGCGGTTTTGTTAAAAATTTCAAACGGTTAATTTTTCCCCATATCTTTAAAAATCGATGCAAAATCTTAACAAATTACATATTAAAACCTTACTCGAGAATCATGCTATCGAGTGATAAAAACTGCTTGATAACAATTGATAATGATTAAAAAATATACATTTTCAAAGTTCAAACAACTTAAGAGACTAAATATTCGTATTTTTTAATATTATACAACATGTAAGTAACAACAAAGACTAAAAAAACAAGGCTTAGTCTCTTTATAAACATATTTTTCGCTACATG